TTCTAGAAATTTGTCCATTTCCTCTAGGTTTTCAAATTTGTTAGAGTACAATTTTTCATAGTATTCTGTTATGATTCTTTTAATTTCAGTTGAGTCTGTTGTGATATCACCCATCTCATTCCTTACACAGGTTATTTGCTTCCTCTCCTGTTTTTCTTTTGTCAGTTTAGCCAATGGTTTATCAATTTTGTTGATCTTTTCCAAGAACCAGCTTTTGGTCTTGTTAACTCTTTCAGTTGGTTTTCTATTCTCTATTTCATTTAATTCTGCTCTAATATTTATTATTTCCTTTCTTCTGTCACCCGAAGGCTTCTTTTGCTGCTCTCTTTCTATTTGTTCCAGTTGTAGGGCTAATGTTTTGATTATGGCCCTTTCTTCTTTTTGGATGTGTGTATTTATTGCTATAAACTGACCTCTGAGCACTGCTTTTTTTTTTTTTTATTGTACTTCAGATGAAGGTTTACAAAACAAATAGTTTCTCATTAAACAGTAGTACACATATTGTTTTATGACATTGGTTAACAACCCCAAGACATGTCAACCCTCTCCCTTCTCGACCGTTTTTTTGTTTTTTTTTGTGAAGATATACATAGCCAAAGATACACCATTTAAAAAATTTCTACATGCAGAATTCAGTGACATCGATTACGCTCTTCCAATTGTGCTGCTATTCTCACTTTAGATGAAGGTTTACAGAACAAAATAGTTTCTCATTAAACAGTTAGTACACATGTTGTCCTAAGACAATGGTTAACAACCTCACTACACATCAACACTTCCTTACTAAACCTTGGGTTCCCTATCACCAGCTTTCCTGTCCCCTTCTGCCTTCTAACCCTTGTCCATGGACTGCTGTGCCTCATTAGTCCTGTTTTGTTTTATGGGGCTGTCCAATCCCCGGCTGAACAGTGAACCTTGGAAGTGACTTGACCAGAGAGCTAAAAGGGTGTCTGGGGGCCATACTCTTGGGGTTTCTCCAGTCTCCTTTAGACAGGTAAATCTGGCCTTTTTTGTGTGTGTTAGAATTTTGTTCTACATCCTTCTCCAGCTCTGTCCAGAACCCTCTGTTGTGATCCCGGTCAGAGCAGTCAGTGGTAGCCGGGCACCATCTAGCTGTACTGGACTCAGTCTGGTGGAGGGCTTGGTAGCTGTGGTCCATTAGTCTTTTGGACTAATCTTTTCCTTGTATCCTGTTCTCTTCATTCTCCCTTGTTCCCAAATGTATGAGACCAGTGGAGTATCTTAGATGGCTGCTCACAGGCTTTTAAGACCCCAGACACTACTCACCAAGGTAGAATATAGAACATTGTCTTTATAAACTGTTATGCCAATTGAACTAGATGTTCCATGAGACCATGGTCCCCACAGCCCTCTGAGCACTGCTTTTGCTGGGTCTGAAAGGTTCTGCTGGGATGTGTTTTCATTGTCGTTTGAGCCTATGAATTTCTTTATTCCATCCTTAATTTCTTCTATAACCCAGTAGTTTTTAAGCAAGGTGTTGTTCAGTTTCCACGTGTTTGATTTTTTTTCCTTGCTTTTTCTGTTGCTGATTTCTACTTTTACAGCTTTATGGTCAGAAATATTGTTTGCTTTAAAGAACAGTTCAAAGGGTAGTTTTGGTTTAAGATTTAAAGATTATCTCAGGATAGTAGTTTCAAGGGTTCATCTAGCCTCCATGGCTCTGGAAAATGTGGATTCCATGAGAATTTCAAATTCTGTTCTGCCTTGTACAGCCTTTTGATGAGAATTCTTCTATAGAATTTTTGATCAAGATGATCAGTAATGGTAGTTGGGCGCTATCCAGTTCTTCTGGTCTCATGGCAAAGGAGGCAGTTGTTCATGGAGGTAATTAGCTACACATTCCATTTCCTACTCCTATTCCTGACTTTCCTTCTTCCACTGCTGCTGCAGGCAAATAGAGACCAATTGTTGTAGCTTGGATGGTCACTTGCAAGCTTTTGAGACCTCTGGCACTACGCAGTGAACTAGGAGGTAGAACAGAAGCACTAAAAACAATATTTGGCCAATTAAATGGGATGTCCATGAAACCATGACCCTAAATCTCCAAACCAAGAAACCAAATCCTATGAGGTATTTGGTTGTACATAAGCAACATAAGCAACTGTGTCTCTCTGTCATCTCCTATGACAGCTGTCATTGGATTCAGGGCCCATCCTAATCCAGGATGACCTCGTCCCAAGGCCCTTACCATAATTACATCTGTAAAGACACTTATTCCAAATAAGATGACATGTTGAGGTTCTAGGAGAGCACACCTTTTGGGGCACCACGATTTAACCCACCACAAGGAATACAAATTGCTTCCTCCTTCTGAATCACTCCTTCCCTCACTCAAGAAGGAAATATCTATTACAAATAAAGCTGATATGAACACTCAAATTCATGTCTTTTCATTTTTATTTTCTTGGATAAATCCCTAGGAGTGGAATGACTGGATCATATCGGTGTGCATTTAACTTCTTAGGAAACTGCCATACTGTTTTCCAAAGTAGTTGTACCTTTTATATATATATTTATTCCCACCATCCATGTTATGCCATCTGCAAGAAGAGAACTTTTTGATCTTTATGCCTTTTATGTGTTTTTCTTGCTTTACTAAGACTTGCAATACAATGTTAAATAGAAGTGGTGAATGTGGACATCCTTGCCTTCTTCCTGATCTTAGGTAGAAAATACCTAATATTTTACCGCGAAGTATGATATGAACTCTAAGTTAACTCTAAGTTATTAATATTTCTTCATTATCTTTTAAATGTCTACAAAATCTGTAGTGATAGCCCTTCTTTTATTCCTAATATTAGTAATTTCTGTTCATTTTTTATTGTTCAGCCTAGTTTATCAATTTTTTTATCTCGTATAACCCACTTTTGACTTTGTTAATTTTTTTGATTACTTGGCTATTTTCTCTGTCATTGATTTCTGCTCTTTGTTATTTCTTCTTTTTACTTATTTTTTTAAATATTCTTTTTCTTGCATTTTAACACAGAACACTGAGTCATTGATTTTATATCTTCTTTTCTAATCTAAGTATTTAAAGTTCTAAATCCCCCTCCAAATACTACTTAAGTTCCATCTTGTAATTTTTTTATTATTCTAGTGTGTTAAAATATACATATAACAAAACATTTGCCATTTCAACCGTTTTACATGTATAATTATGTTCATCATGTTGTGCAGCAATCACCACTAGTCATTTCCAATTTTTCATCACTTGTAACAGAAACCAAGTACCCATCGAGCAATAACTCTCTCTCTCCCAATCACCCCAGGTAACCACTAATAAACTTTGGTCTCTATGTATTTTTCTATTATATATTTCATATAAATGGGATCATACAATATTTGTCCTTTTGTGTCTGACTTTTTTCACTCAGCATAACGTTTTCAAGGTTCATCCATGTCATAACATGAATCAAACATTCATTTCTCTTTATGGCTGAATAACATTCCATTGTATGGGAATATCATATTTTATTTATGCATTCATCTGTTGAAGGACACTTGAGTTGCTTCAGTATTTTGGCTATAGTGAATGATGCTGCAATGAACATTGGTGTTTGAGTCCCTGCTTTCAAGTCTTTGGGTGGAATTGCTATGTGTAACTTTTGCAGGAGCCACCAAACTGCTTTCCACAGTGGCTGCACAATTTTACAACTCCACAGCAACTGATAAGTATTCCAATTTATCTACTTCTTTGCTAACACTTGTTATTTTCTGTTTTTCTAATAATAGCCATCCTAATGGTGGTAAAGTGGTATCTCATTGTGATTTTGATTTGCGTTTGCCTAATGACTAACGATGTTGAGCATCTTTTCATGTGTTTATTGACCATTTATATATCTTCTTTGTGAAATGTCTATTCAAGTCCTTTGCCCATTTTTTTTTGGGGGGGATTGGATTGTGTGTCTTTTTGCTTTCCACCTTTCCTCTAGGTTCATTGCTCAGTGTTAAGCATTGAATTTGTCATCCTACAGGGAAGGTTGCAGAAGGGATAGTCCACTGAAGCATCTCAGCAGTGTGGGTGATCACGCACACAGAACCTGGTAAAAGGGATCCTAGAGGCTGGAGAATAGGGACACCAAAATAGTCTCCCAGGAGTGTGAATGCAGGGAAGAAAAGGAACTGCCTCTGGATAAGTTTCTCTTCTTCACCTGCTCAGTTACTTTTCTTTTCTATAGATCAAGTGGAAGTAAGTGAATCTTTCTGCTTGTAACAACATTCCCTGTCTCCTTAAAGAAGATGCATCTTATTCTCATTAGACTCTTGGTTCATGCTGTTTGTACATGTGGAGTCTTGAAAGGTAAAAATTTGTATGGCTTCCCACTGCCATTCAAACATCTTTCCTTTCCATCTACTCATGTAGAAATATATATATAATACAATTGTCATTCATTTTTGTAGTCACAGGAGATATAGTAGGGAACACAATAGACCATAATTCCTGCCCTTACGGACAAGGAGACAGAGGAACCAAAGTGGATGCAGATTAACAAGTAGATAAAGGAAGAATAATATATAGTATGTCAGATGGTGACAAGCATCCCGGAGGAAAATAAAGAATGGATGGTTATGGGGAGGGCCAGACAGGAGGGCTTATGAGAATAATTAGGATGTTTAGGAAAGTTCTACTGTGAAGGTAGGACCTGACAAGGACAGAGAGTGAGGCTTGAGGATATCTGGAACTGCAAATGAAAAGAAGATGAGGTGGGAGCAGGTCTGACATGTTGGAAGACAACAGGGAGTCGATGGGAGCAAAGTAAAGTGAGAGAGAAGGTGTCTTTGTTATCTAGTGCTGCTATAACAGAAATACCACAAGTGGATGGCTTCAATAAACAGAAGTTTATTCTCTCACAGTCTAGTAGGCTAGAAGTCCAAATCCAGGGAGTCAACTCCAGGAGAAGACTTTCTTTCTCTGTTGGTTCTGGAGGAAGGTCCTTGTCATCAAACTTCCCCCGGTCTAGGAGCGTCTCACCTCAGGTCCAAAGGATGTGCTCTGCTCCCGGTGTTGCTTTCTTGGTGGTATGAGGTCCCCCTGTCTCTCTGCTCACGTCTCTCTTCTATATCTCAAAAGAGATTGACTTAAGACACAACGTAATCTTGTAGAGTGAGTCCTGCCTCATTAACATAACTGCCACTAATCCCACCTCATTAACATCATAGAGGTAGGATTTACAACACATAGGAAAATTACATCAGATGACAAAATGGTGAACAATCACACAGTACTGTGAATCGTGGACTAGCCAAGTTGACACACATTTTTTTGGGAGACACGATTCAATCCATTACAGAAGGTATGAAAAGCATCTGGAAGTGACTGTAGACAGGGCACAGCAGTTGGATTGGGTTGGACCTTGGAAGGAATTTGTCTTTCCCCTGAGCGAGGCAGGATTGTGAGCACAGGGGCATCATGGTCTCACTCCCTGTCTAGAAGAGTCACTAATTGCTATTTATGGTGAGGCGGTGTGGAGGCAAGCGCAGATGTAAATCATCGCTGGGGGGCTCTCTGCAATCATCCCAAGTAGAGAGGATGGTGGCTCAGACTAGGGTGGTGTCTATGGGAATGGGGAGAAGTGGTTGGGTTTGGATAGACTTGGAAAGTCAAGCCACAGGGTTGCTGATGTGGAGTATCAGTGAAAGAGGATTGTGTGAGTGACTATGCAGATAGACGTTGCCATTACCTGAAATGGACAAGATTGTGGGAGGAGCACTTTAAATATGTCATCCCATTGTCTATGGTCTCCACGGTTTCTGAGGAGAAATTGGCACTTAATCTTATTGTTGTTGTTGTTAGATGCCATTGAGTCAGTTCTAACTCATAGGGACCCTATGTACAACAGAATGAGACACTGCCTGGTCCTGCACTATCCTCATAATCATTGTTATCCTTGAGCCCATTGTTGCTGCCACTGTCTATCTTGTTGAGGGTCCCCCTGTTTTTTTGCTGACCCTCTGCTTTACCAAGCATGGTGTTCTTCTCCAGGGACTAGGTCCTCCTGATAACATGTCTAAAGTAGGTGAGATGAAGTCTCACCATCCTTATTCTAAGGAGCATTCTGGCTTAATTCTTCCAAGACAGATTTGTTCACTCTTTTGGCAGCCTATGGTATACTCGATATTCTTCACCAACACCATAATTCAAAGGCGTCAATTCTTTTTCAGTCTTACTTATTCATTGTCTAGCTTTCACATGCATATGAGGCAATTGAAAACACCATGGCTTAGGTGCACCTTAGTCCTTAAAGTAACATCCTTGCTTTTTAACACTTTAAAGAGGTCTTTTAATCTTATTGAAGATCATTTTCATGTGACAATTAACTTCTCTCTTGCTGCTTTCAAGATCCTGTCTTTATCTTTGGTTTTTGGGAATTTGATTATAATGTATCCAGTGTGGATCTCTTTGAGTTTATCCTACCTGGAGTTTTTTGAACTTCTTGGATGTGTAGATTCATATCTTTTGTCAAATTTGGAGAGTTTTTGACCATTATTTCTTCAAATATTCTTTTCGCTCCTTTGTCTCTTCTTGTTCCAGGACTCCCATAAAGCATATGCGAGTCCAATTGATATTGTCCCACAAGTCTCTTAAGTTCTGTTCATTTCTGTTCATTCTTTTTTCTTTTTGTACTTCAGACATGATAGTTTCAATTTTCCTGTCTTCAAATTCGCTAATTCTTTTTTCTGTCAACTCAAATCTGCTGTTGAACCCCTCCAGTGAATATTTCATTTCAGTGTATTGTACTTTTTAGCCTCAGGATTTAGTTATTATTATTATTTTTAAATAATTTCTATCTCTTAATTGATATTCTTGCTTTGTTCATGAATCATTTTCCTGATTTCCTTTAGTTGTTTGCCTGTGTTTTCCTTTAGCTCTTTGAGTATATATAATACTGTTGTTTTAAAGTCTTTGTCTAGTTTGGCCATGATCTAACAGCTTTGTGAGATAATAAGTCATGTGTGCTCCTGGAAAGAGGAGTCGGGGGGCCATGAAAAGTACTAGGTTTATTATAGAACAGTTCCCAGAGAAGTAGACAGCACACCACACAGGGCCACATGAGAAGACAACCAGATGCGGGGCAACCACAATAAGAAGAGAAAGAGAATGAGGAACTATGGGTAGCTGCCTTTATTGTAGTTTCAGAGTAAGGTTAAGAGTTGAACTGTGCTAGTCTGTAGTTGACTAGCTGTTTTTTAAAGTTCATGCCTCATGGGGAAGTAGTGTGAGTCCCAAGGGGATTACCAAATAGGACCAAATGGTGTTTACTCCAGTGCATCAGAGGGTTCCTGAAACTCAGGCAAAGGGGAAGGGTCTACAGTATGGGTTGAGCCCTAGAGGAATGAGCTCAAATTTTTGGAGAATTTAAATTGTTAAAACAAACAGCCATGTGACGCTTCACCATTCTCCAGCAGTATAGATTCATAGGTTTTGTTTTTGTAGGCCAGAATAGGATGAGGAAAACAAATAATGCATATCACCTGAGTGGTGATGTTAAAAGTGTAAGGTAATGGTGGTGAGGCCCAGTGAAAAATAAATTTAATTAAGTTTTCTATTAGAAATATCCCAAGGAGGCTGATCAATATTGTTTAAAAGCTTGTCTGTAAACATGATGCCCAACTACTAGGGAAAAGCCGGGAGAATAGGTCAGAAACAGGTAGATTGGGTGGTATTTGTTCAAAAATTTTGGTAATGTTATAAAAAACCTGACTGTTCTTAGTAATGTTTTGTAACATGGTGATTACCCAATCTGAATTGTTAACATATATGCAACAGGAAATACCCTTTATTGCATAGACATTTCCTCCTTAGAGAGCTAGAGGGTTATCCAGGACTATCTATGCTAAAGATTCATGCTGTTGTTGCATGAGACTTAAGGCCTTATGTACGTTTGTAGTGTGTTGACCAGAGATTTTGAAAGTTGTTGATTAGCTAAAATAATCTGACTTTGTTTCACCACCATGGCTCTACTGAGGCCAACGCTGAAAGCAGTACTGGCCACTATGAGCCCAATTAGGAGAGGGAGAAATATTAGTCAATGATGCATTAGTGTTGTATGACTGAGTCAATTGAAGGCTCATAAACTGAGATGGGAATGCCCTGGGAAACCGCAGTGCAGTGAAATGTGGTGAGATTGGATTGGAATGGAAGGTTGAAATGGATCAGAAGTGGGGCTGCCAGTGGGTGTGGTAGGTGGCCAACAATAGTTGGGCAGGGTTTTTTGTAAAATGCAGAGAAAAGGAAGGTCAGGGGTATGGACGCAATGAGATAGAATGGTGCACTTGGATTTGGGAGTCGTGTTACTTGAGAAGCTCTTAAAGAGGCAATTTTTAGCATTCTAAAGGGGCTGTACCATACAAAGTGCCATAAGGCAAACCACTGGGTGTGTGCTCACAGTGTGTAGAGAGCTTCAAGGGAGATAGGGGCGTTCTTGAGACACATGGTTATTTCAGTGTAAAAATATTATGGGGGAATTGAACTGGTCCCAACAGGTGTGCAGGGTATCTGGACTGGGGATTGGAGTGAAGATTGAGTGGTCGAATGATGCGTGCACAAAAAGTCCAATATAGAGTCTAAAGGTGAGTCCAGGGAAGTCATTGGACAAAGTTGTGGTCAGGTTGGTTATGGTTATTTCCAACAATAAGTTCTTGGGTTAGGGCAATGTTGTCTGAGGTGGTATCACCTCCAACAAGGTCTTGGGCTAAGGTGATGTCATCTGAAGCAATGTCATCTGCGGAGACAAGCTCTTGGGCCAAAGAAATGTCATCTCTTCTGATGAATCTAAAGGTGGAGCCTCCTTAGGTGGGGGGCAGCCAGGAGGGGTATGTACCCTTGATTCAGCCTCCAGCCTTTATGGAGGTGGACACAGGACTGATAACCCATAAAGGTAAGGGGAGATATTATTAAAGGACCACATATATAATAAGCTTTTATACATAAAGAGGTGAGATGTATCTCTCTTTAAATATAAGTAGGGGCTATGAAGAAGTTTTTCTCTTAAAGTTGGTGTGAGCTGTGAGTCATCCAAGCGGTCTTGAATTAAGACAGATTAAGGCCTGGAGCAAGAGGGAGAACCATTTAGGGACCATTTGTTATTTTGTACCTTAAACAGAAGTTGTCTGAGGAGACCACTTTCCAGATTGTAATCTGAGAGGAGGTCATTTAGGGGGCCATTGTGGTATTCTATGAATCTGGTCACTAGAGGATAATAGGGCAGAAGAAACTTTCATGAATGCCTTTTCTAAGAGCCCAGCATTGTGTCTTCTGAGTGTGCCTTAGTCACTATCAGTAATGTCTGGAACTCCAAA